TCCGCGGGAAGCCTGCTTCTCCCTCTCCCACTCCCCCTGCTTGTGCTCCCTCTCTCACTGTGTCTTTGTCAAATAAATAAAATCTTTAAAAAAAAGAAAAAACCAACATACTCATAACCTTGTTATAGAGAAAGCCGGGTGTAGAAATATGTAGAGCTGTGTAAGTAATCTCCACAGTCACTGATTGGCGATCACGGTACATTGGATAGAAGTGGAACCTGTATTCCTGCATTTACTAGGCATTTGGATTGTTGATTAAATACGCTGAAAATACCTTCTCCTAGTCCATTGCTTATGTAGTTAAATTTTTCATGGGTATATGCTCTGTGTGTCTTAAGAACGATTTCCCTATCCTAAGAACATGGGCCTATCATTCACAGATTTTTCTCATTTAAGTTTTTAGCTTACTTGGAATTTATTTTGAACACTATGAAAGTGCCCAGGCATTATTCTGCATTTATTCTCACAGGTGGTGCAGCTGAACAAGCTGGAACAATAGAAGCTGGAGATGAAATTCTTGCCATTAATGGGAAACCCCTGGTGGGGCTCATGCACTTTGATGCCTGGAATATTATGAAGTCTGTCCCAGAGGGACCCGTGCAGCTGGTAATTAGGAAGCACAGGAATCCTTCCTACAACAGGCACCGGGAGTGACACTCACTAGTGGTGCTGGTTACATTTTTTAACAAGAATCTCCTTTTCTCAGTTCCCTTACTTTAGCAAATCAGAATAACTTCTTTAAACAGTGGGTTCCTACACAGTATAGGCAAGGACTATAAAAATCTCCAGGTTTTTACTCCTAAAAGAAGAGCTGACCTCTGTGTGCGACGGCGACAGCGATGACCTCTGGAAGCCTGCTCCCCGGACCACGAGGCCAGGAGGGATGCTTTTGCTCCGGTGCCTGTCCCCTGCCTTTTAGGTTCACTGATGGGGACACAAGATGTGGCATGTCATCTTCTTCATTCGAAACACCTACTTAAGACCTGCGCATCCCTCCCCTCCTCGCTCACCGTACCCAATCCTGGCAGTGAGGGAGCTAACCCGGTCTGAGGGGCAACACCAATGTCACAAGTGAAGGACTACAGTTTTATATAGTTTTGTAAGTAAATAAGAGAACGCTTTTAGGCACATTCAGTGGAAGGAACTGTAGGTCTGTACGTTATGGTGAAAAGAAAGTGAGACTTAAAAAAAAGAAAGAAAGAAAAAATCAGTTATGACCTAACAGTTAAGCTGAGCTCAGGAATTATCCAAAAATGAAAAAGCAAAATAACAAAGTGGTATTTTTTAATGAGTGTAATGTGCAATGTATGGCTGCAGAGTTCAACTCAGTGGATTACGGATCATCATGAAGTGCTGATCGTGATCTGAAAGTGTAAGTCGTAAGGCTATTTTACAGAAATGCCGTTCTGATAAACCATACTAAATAGCCATGAACTTTGCTGCTTAGAATGAGCAGCAAGTTCCAGCTCCGAAAGCACCTTGCATCTAAGTCGGAACTGGTCTTGAATAAGTGCTGGAATTCAAGACCAGTCAACACAGGAGTGGGCAGAAATACTACAGTCACTGGGTTTCCATTTCTATATTTTACGCACTCCAAACACTAATTTAAGCTAAATTTTTAGAAATCTTTTTAGCATCCTTGGATTTATAAACATAGGCATTACATTTACAACCCCAAGGGCGGAGCTTAAAAATAATCCTTTTAGGGGGCTTTGGGGAGGGTTGGTTGGTCTTCCCCTTGCCCAACAAGCGTAAGAATAGCCCCTTTCTGAGCACTGGCCCGCTCTTCCTGACCTGGGTGTAAGGACGCCTCTGCAGTGACGGACGTGTTTGCTGCTTTTGTTTTCCTGTTTTGCAAACTCTTCCTTAGGCCAAAACTATTTCCGTGCCGAAGACTGCTGTGCCTCACACTGCCCGTGAAACTCGTCCCGGCTGCTCTCCTGTCAAAGCATGACTTCTTCCCAGTAGCTGCTCCCAGTCCCAAAACTGGCTTTTCTCCTCCGTACTGGCACCTTCTTTTCTTAAATTCCAAACCTCCATCAGCTTCATTTACCAAAATGAAAGAAGACGACAATGGGGAGTGCGGGTGAGTCACTCTTTCAAGGTAAAGAAGCAGAACTGTGTCGCACAACCCAGATCCGAGGGGGAAGCAGACCAGCTGCTCGAGTCCTGGGAATACGGGTGAGGACGCCAAACCTGCGTGCATGAGGATGCCCAGGTTTTATGTTGGACGCTTCTTTCAATAACCTACAGCCTGGGTCTATGGCTTAGCGAAAAGAACTGAGGTCACTGTACACCCCCCGCCCCAATCATGGAGATGCTTGAGCTGTCACCTTTGTACATCGTTTTTCCGAGTGACTCATCCCTTACAGAAAACCTCCCTATATAGAGTTGGCCCACAGGGGTCTCTCAGATGAGAATGAAGTATCTGGCTGGTGTGAGCCCAGATTTCTCTTTTTTTTTTTAACAGGTTATACAAAAGAGAATGTGGTACAAAAGTTAGCTAGAAAGACCTGATTAATTTAGCTTCTACTTTTCACTACACTTCCAGGTAGGATACTATAGGCAGTCAGTGCAAGGTGCATGCTAGATTGTTTTTAAGTTTCTGGGGTCAGTTGTGTGGTTTCTGCTTTCCTGCCTAAATGGTAAGAGAATATTTGCCTCCACTCTTCCAGCTGTGCCTCCTAGTAAGAAATTCACAGTCCTATGTGAACAGACCGGAATTTCTAGAGCAATTTGGAGCAATGGAACAGTCTCCTTCTGAGAGTCTCTCATCATCATATCTGAAGAGTGCAAGGGTAGACCTTTCACTCTACTAGCCTAAAGTAGGCTGAAGTCATCATTTCTAGTAGATCTTGCCAGAAGGGTTTCCCTGGCCAACAGCTGGAACTTAAGGGAGAAAGCAAAAGGCTAAACTATCTCTGACCCTAAGACAGAAAGCTACTTATTTGTCTTCAATGTTCAAGGCATGACTAGTATTTCTAATTAGTCTAATTCCCACACTTCCTGAAGTGAGCACTAATGGTAATTATATTATCCTACTAAAAAATTTCATTGTTTTGGTTTTCTAATTCATCAGTCATCTACAATAAGCTATGAGGGTAAATACGTGTTATAACAAGTAAACTGTAGTTGCAAGGATATTCTGTGAAGGTTGAAATAGGTTGGGTTGCATTTCTGTCCTCCAAAACACATCTCATTTAATTTTATGGTTGACTTAATTGGCACCACACCTGTTGTATGATATTCTACATTATCCTTTATTTATGTAAAATAAAATGCCTTATATATTATTGAAGAGTTAAGTGCAATAATATGAAATAGCCTGTACATTTTTAAAATGTTGTCGCCAAGTTATGTAAATCCACATCTCTGTAAACCTTTTTTAAGTAATTTTAAAAAAATAAACACTGCTTACTACTTGTTTTTTTTTAAATTCTGCCATCTATAAAGTAACCTTGTAAAATCTTCAAGATAAGAAATGTTTATTACCTAAATTATTACATCAATGAGTGAGCAGTCCAAAAGCAACAGAAAATCAACAACTCTTACAGGGCCACACTAAGGATCTGGCCTAATCGAAAGCCATTCCACCTCCTGAAATCTTAAACATCCCATGCCTTTGCAACTTCCTCACCTTCTGGATCTTACCCACCCCCCCTTCTTCCCATTACTACTTAAGTCTTCTGTTTCAGCAGGCCCTCTAATCCCCTGACAACTGTCCATCTTCTCCCCATCAGAACCCCACCCTTTCATTTCTACTCTGTTCAGACTAGACCCATGGTACAGCACAAGCTCCACCCAGACTCCTCACCCTCGTCCCAGCTAATCAGGGATCCTTCCTTCCAACTAGCCAGTTGGTTCCTACACTCCCATTCCTAGAGAAAATCCTACAACCACACAGAATAATGCTGCTAGAAATTCCTGGTTTCCAACCACAACTGAACTCCCCATGCTACTCAGCAATTGTTTGTCAGTTTTTTTTTTTCTCCCACTTGTTTATAATGACTACAGTTCCTCCTTTCTCTCAAAACCGCTACCTACTCACCTCCCCCTACCACATGCTTGGGTGACCTGGGATCCTCCTTCATAAAAATAAAAAGCATCTAGTTTACTTAGGCTCTTCTGATTTTATGATGCAGACACCAACCTAGAATAGCACAAGAAAGAAGATAAGATGGCATCTCACAGAAATCTAAGAATGGGACTCAGCACATGACCAGGCCTCTGAGACTGGAGGAACAATGGGGTTCATGGGTGTTCACTCAGTGCCCTCCGCTGATAAGACTCCCTTGCTATATGTGGGTCTATTTCTGCAGAAGCACTTCTCCTTCTACCAGTTGGTGGCCTTATCCTCCAACTCTTCATACCTTTTCTTAGAAACCTTATGAATGCCATTTTGTCACAATTTTGGCCTCTGTATCACAGAATTTCTCTGGACCTACCAGCTGCTGCCTGCCTGATTTTTTCCACATATACCCCAAAAGTAAGATTCTGACCGGCTCACTCCCACTTGGGTAGAACTTCTTCTGGGAGAGAGTGAGCTTATTTGTTCACATTAACTCTTCTAAAACCCAAATACAAAGAGGGAAACTGGTGTTTTAATACAATATAGAAATAGCCCATTCTATGAATGTTGGAGACTACATACCAGGTACAGTAAAATCCAAGACCAAACTGAAAAACAATGAAATAGGATACAATTCTAAGTGACAGAAAGCAAAGGACGTATGAAATTAGAGTTCTGAAGAATGCCACCGAAAGTCTTAACTTGGAGAAAGGGGATTACAGGAGAAAGTGGGCCCCAGAAAAAGCAGGAAGCACCCAAAATTGGAGCCATTAACACTCCTCAGAATGATAGGAAGGGTGAGGTTGAAGAGGGGGGATTGTTTTGGGGCACCTGGGTGGCTCAGTCGTTAAGCGTCTGGCTTCGGCTCAGGTCATGATCCCAGGGTCCTGGGATCGAGCTCCACATCGGGCTCCCTGCTCGGTGGGAAGCCTGCTTCTCTCTCTCCCACTTACCCTACCGTGTTCTCTCTCTGGCTGTCTCTCTCTGTCAAATAAATAAATAAAATCTTTAAAAAAAAAAGAGGGGGGATTGTTTTAATTTTTCCAGGTACCTGGGTCAGCCTAGGCAGGCAGAGGAGTAACACGCAAGGAATGGTCTGATCTGAGGGGAGTCCCTGCCAGCTAGGACCTTACCACAAAAGGGCTCAACTAATTCAGCTGCTGCAACTCACCCACCCCATAAAGGCTACAGCAAGTACCACTCAACACAGCCTCCTCCCAATCCCCCCCAAATAGCTATCTGAAATAAGATTAAAATTGGGTGCTGGGGGCGCCTGGGTGGCACAGTCAGTTAAGCATCCAACTCTTGATTTTGGCTCAAACCATGATCTCAGGATCGTGAGATCAAGCCCTGCATCAGGCTCATGAGTCAGCTTGTCCCTCTCCCTCTGCTCCTCCCCTCCCGCTTGCACTCACTTTCTCTCATGCTCTTGCTCTAAAATAAATAAAATCTTAAAACTGGCTGCTATCCAACTTTCCTCTCTCATCCTAAAGGATGAACTGAACATACTTAAACACAGAGATCTAATATATCCACTACTAACCAATCCTGGGCAAAGAACAGGCTTAGATAGAACCCTCCCCCG